TACTATTCAGCATGAATAACGGTGCCAGAATCTGACCCTTCCTAAGAAAAAAAAATTAAGTGTGAAAATAGCAACCCAGTGCTATCTACCCCCTGCAGAACCACAAGAAATTGCTATCGTCATCTAGAGTTCATCTGAAATATGCAGAAAAAATTATGAATGATTAATTTTGCATATTTTTCTTAAAAGTGTGCTGGCACCCAATTAATGGAATAACTCTCCAAATAATCCCATCTGTTCAACTGAAACTGCACAGATGATAATTACTTTTGATTTCTAAGGCTGTGATCCTGCAACTGTAAGAGGTCACATTGACTTCCAGGGGATACCACAGGGGTGTAATGGAGGGTGGAGGATCAGGTTCTAAGTAAATATGCTCAAGCATTTATTTTCCGTTATCAGTTCCTTCCTTTTTTCCTGCAGCAGTAATAGGATGGATGTATGACTTATCAGCAGGAAGAGGGTTCTCTTGGTGGGATAAACCTTTCACTTTCAGAGTTCATCCACTCAGGAATAAGACTGGTGCACTGAAAAACAGAGTACCTGTCTTGATATCTCCGACATATAAATACAACAATAATAATTGTTATTGTTATAATAATTGTTATCTAGATAGCCTGAGTCGGAGAGTACAGCATGTCCTTGAAAGAATATTTAGTGTTTGTTTATTCCCTGTCCAGAAGGAATGTAGACACATTTTCTCCCTGTAAGGAGATTCCAAACCAGGCCTAGGATCTATCCTTGGGTACAAATTTTAAACTGTACACAAGCAACAGCATGCAAGGTGGTTAACATGCTTTACTACTACTGTTACTTGCTAAGCTCCATCAGTATGCTGAGCCATGTACAAACAATGAGGAAGTCACTGCTCCTGCCAGAGGAGTTTACAATCCAAGGCCCTGATCCTACAAGTTATTCCTTGTGGGCAGACTCCTGCAACCAGGTGGAGACTCACTGAAGTGAACAAGGCTCCAACTCCTGCAGAATCTGTTGCCAGATAGGGGCCTATATCAGACACAGAGCTTTACATCGGTAGGTCTTTAAAGTACAGAAGTAGAATATTTTTGTACTTCGTCGTCGTCGTCCCCCACCTGTGTTTCAAGGAAAACAAAGAAGAATGTTGTTTGACCCTTTGAAAGATTATTTATTGCTAACATGCAGGAAGAAGTGCATCCTATGTTGACTCGATACAGGACATGGGATATTCAGTGTGAAATAAAGGACAGGTGCTCACATCACCTATCCCCCATCCTGGGGCTCTACCTCTAATAAAACAAAGTACTCTACCACGCCCATAGCCCTTCCACAACCCCTTTTCAATGTGAGTGATAGAACAATGCCTACTTCCAGGAACATCAGTGATTCATAATGTAAGGCCAGAAAGGACCATTACATCATCTAGTGCTGACCTCCTGTACATCACAGGCCATTAAATTTTATCCAGTTATTTCTGTATTGTCCCAATAACTCATGTGTTTGACTAAAGCATGATTTGTGTTTGGCTAAATCATGTCTTTCAGAAAGGCATTCATTCTTGACTTGAAGACACTGAAATGATGAATCCACCACTTCCCTTGGTAATGTGTTTCAATGAGGGTTAATCACCCTCACTGTTAAAAACTTGTGCCTAATTTCTAATTTGAATTTGTCTGGCTTCAGTTTCCAACCATTATTTCTTTCTATGCCAGTCTCTGCTAGATTAAAAAGCCCTAGTACTCAGTATTTTCTTTATGTGCATTTTCTTGTACACACTATGGGTCAAGTCACTTCTCAAGCTTCTTTTTAATACATTAAATAGATTGAACTCCTCAAGTCTCTCCGTGTAAGGCATTTTCTCTACCCCTCGAGTAATTTTTGTGGCTCTTTTTTGCACCTTCTTCAATTTTTACCATCTTTTAAAAAAATGTGGACCTCAAAACTGTACGCAGTATTGCATTGTCTGTCTCACCAATTCCATACTTGGAGGTAAAAATCACTTCTCTATTTCCAGTCCCATTTATACGTCCAAGGATCACATTATGCCTTTTTGCTGCAGCACCACACTGGCAGCTCACACTGAATTGCCTGTCCACATAACCTCTAAATGCTTTTCAGAGACACTGCTTTCCAGGATACAGTCTCCAATTCTGTAGGTCTGGCATGCATTACTTGTTCCTAGGTATATAACTCTGCATTTGGCTGCATTAAAAAAACAACAACACTTTGCCTGGGCCCAAGTTACCAAGCCATCCAGACTGCTCTGTATGATTGCCCATTCCTCATCATTATTTTCCTCTCCACCAATCCTTGCATCATCTGCACATTTTATCAGCAGTGATTTACATTTATTTCCAGATCATTGATGAAAATGTTGAATAGCAAAAGGCCTAGTATCAATCTCTGTGAAACCCCATTAGAAACATCCCCACTCAGTGAGGATTCCCCACTGCTGGCGAGTTGCTGACATATGTCAGTTGGTCAATTCTTAAGCCATTTAATGTATGCTGTCCTGATATTGTATACTGCTAGTTTTATCATTAGAATGTTGTGTGGTACCTCAGTCAAATGCCCTAGAAAAGTCAAGTATGTTACATCTATGTGACATTAATGAAAACTTCATGCTCCCCAACAAACGCCTTTCAACCAGGCACCCCACTCTCTGTAAGAGCTCTTCCTCACTGTAAGAGTGGAGACCAATTCCTGCCATGTGACAATCACAGGGGTATGACTTTTTATAACCTTTACTCACAACAGGTAATTAGGAAATAAAGATCAATCTGTTACCGGCACCCCCCGTGTCACACCCTTATTGCACTCAAGGGAAGCAGTATTTCCTGTAGATTGGAAATAAGAGACTGGCAGTCAAGATTTCCAGGTTATATTCCCAACTCTGACCACCCATTGTGTGACCTTGGTCAAATTACTTAACTTCTCCATGTCTCAGTTTCTCCCATCTATTAAAAGGAGCTAATATCCACCTTTGAAATGTGCTATGAGATGTTTGATTACAAGGTCCTGGAGAAGTGTTATTAGTGGGAGGACAGGCAGAGGAAAGAAGGGAAGAAAGGCCAGTTTGGGACTTTTCTTCCAAGAGCCCAACCTACCCTACTTTTCAGAGGCCAGAAAACCCTCCCTTCATCTTGACATAGTGTTCCCTGTTGTCTCAATCTTGACACAGTGTTCCCTAGTGGTCCTGCCAAGCCCTAACAAGCTACCCAGTCCCAGCCCTGCTACAAGACTAGTGCTGAGCATTATTCTGCAGACTACTGTTAAGTTCAAACTCATTTTATTTAGTAGTAGCATGGACAGGGCTTTCCCAGTAAGATGGATTCATCCTGCATCCATTTGCTGTAGAAACTCTCTCTCAAAATCTAGAGCACTCTGCAGACAATAGTGGCTAGTGGTTAACTAATTGTCATAGGCCATTTTTAGTAGATTTTGTTTGACTTTGCTTATTTAAAGGTATTGAGTTTTTCAGTTCCACAAGCTGTATCTAAAATACAAATTAAGGAAGTTCAGTTTTCCTGCAGCTACTGGCTTTTGAAACTATGATTTGTTTTAACTATCAGAACAAATTGGCTTTAGCTACTATCCTAAAATGTTCATCTTAGGAGATAAAAAACTTGTAAAACAAGATCATTCTAACAAAACAACAATTAAAAAAACCAGACCAGGTGTTTTGCATGGTTTTTCTTAGCAGGAAGTAATATTGTTCCATGGGTCTGACTCTAAATTCAACACCTCTGATGAACATGGCTACCTGATAATGTCCTGTGCATACCATACCAGCAGAGGGTGGATTTTAATTGTGTATGAAGTACTCATAAAAACACAGCACAGAACTCTCTGGAATTTCTGGGGAGCTGAGGGCGCACAGCACCCTGTGGGATGGGGTGCTAGGAGAAGAAGTGGTTTCTGGAGATTTTTACCATGAGGAGAGCTTGGTACAGAAGTGTGTTTACGCTGGCAGAGCCTGATGGGATGAAGTGCTGTTGAAACAGGTGACTGGTCAGGTTTGTGTTAAATGACCACTGGGCTGGAAAACAAGCACAAACATTAAGTGGCTTGTTTGGTTGTGAGTAAAATATCCATCCACTTACACTGTAATCATGCTCTGCCCAAAGCCTCAGAGACAAGAGAACTTTTCCGAAGCTTCTCCCCCACCTTCAACCCCTCACCTGCAATGCTCCATCATCCCATTCGATCTTTTGTTTTCACACATTTCAATGTAAAAATTAAAGGCTGCATCCTGCAATCTTCAAGCAAAACTCTCACTGACTTTAATGGGACTAACCCCAGAAATCTGGGCTACCCACATGAGTAAGAGACCAGACCCTAGGGACCTGCACTGAAAATGAAGAATATATAAAGTGATTGATTTTCAAAGGTGCAGGGCACCCACAGCTCCCGCTAACATCAATTGGTACTATGAGTGCTCAGCACATTTGAAAATTAAGGCACATGAGGGTATGTTCTGTTTCTCTTGTCCAGGGGCTGCCTCAGCTCCCCTGAGCCCTTCGCCTCCTCCTCCAGGAGGATATTTTTTCAGTTAAGTTCCTTACAAAGAGTTGTTAATAATTTAAAAAAGCAAAGTATTTAAAGTATTTTTTAGGAAAAGGCAGAACTGACAATCTAGAGACAGACACAGCTAATAATCCAAAGTCAAAAATAGTGAACCTGAAGCAAGGTTCATTTGTATAATAATGAGAGAACAAATAATTGTTATTCTGGCATCTGTTTTGTGGTGGTGGCACGCATGTGTTCTGGGAGAAAATTCTGTATTGCTGTAAACTGGCACATCGCCATTGACAAAGCAGAGGATTTGGATTGCCTCAGCTAGACTAACAATAAAATAATGGTCTCCTACACCAGACTGCACTCCACATCATAAATACTGCAGACAGTATCTGAATGACTTTGTCCTTGATCTTTCCAGATGAGACACGACAAAATAGCTTACTTAGTGTGTTTTGCTGTTGATAACGTATAGTATAAGAGTTGCCATTGAAGGCTGCACTCACCCTATCTTCCTCTTCTCGGAGATCTGGCATGGTGCTGATACAGAGACTGACTGCAGTGATGGCAACAAAGGAGACTGATATACAAGCAAAGATCTTTCCTGGGATCCCAGAGTGAGGGTTCTCTACCATATCCCTGAGCTTTCTCATGCACAAACCCAAACGGCTATTGTCCTGGAAGGCACGCTGCGGCGTTTCATTAACCATCATCTCCCTCTCATACAGCATGGCCTCGGCTGCCTCCTCCTCCTTCTGTTGCAATCTTTTCTTACAGCACCACTCCAGGTGTTCCTCTTCTATCCCCCAATACACTAGCTCCTCTTGGAAAGAGAGGGCACACATCTCCCTTAGAAGCCTCAGCTTCCCAGCTGTCAGGAAAGTCATGATGGTCCTGAAGGCACAAGGGTTACGATCGAAAAAAAACTCATTGCAGCTGACATCATAATCATCACAGATGTCCATGATCTCATCATAGTTGTTACAAGATTTTAGTTTTCCAAGCCTGGTCAAAGGGCAGTTCTCCAGTGTGGTCCACGGAATCCTGTATTTAATGCCACCTACATTGATGATCACATGCCTGGTTCGGTCCTCTAGATGGGCCAAGCAGCACAAGTCTTCCCCAGGGTGAAGAAGCTTGGCTTTTTTGTAGAAGAACCCTTTCTTGGTCTGTACCTCGCACAAGTTTTCCAAATTGTTGTAGGAATACGAAGTGAACTTGGGATCTGCGTTCCCGGTGAGCAATGCCATTTCCTGATACATTTATTATGTTCATGGAGGTATCCGATCTACTCAGAGAAAGAGATTATAAAGTGGAGACAAGTGGCCAGTCTGCAAAAGGAAATTTAAAAATGACAATTAGGGCTTCAGTAGAGAAAACCAATTCCACAACAATGTTTTCTCTGAAGTTTTTAAAATTTGGTTTGCATTTTAGGATGAGTCTTTTAGGACCCACTCTGCTTTCATCCCCCTATCTTGAGACCGAGAAGCACTCCTCACAGCAATCAAATAGAAAGCTGGGTCCATGCCTCTGGAGCCTACTATGCAGCTCCAAGCGATAAACAAAAGGGAGTGTGTGTAATGCATCATCATTGTGACCCACTCCTTTCTAGAGGAGGAGTAATGCCCCAGCCAGTCCATCAGGGGGCGGAGGGGTGGTGAAGAGTTTGTGTGGCAGCACGTTAAAATGAAAATCACCATTGGCCTGGGAGTCTGACAGGTTATCAGATAAGGCTTTGTTGAAAAACCTTTTATTTATTCTGACAAATCCAGAGGATGCGTCTACTATGGTATAATCCAGTGGTGAGAGTGCAAACCTCTTTCACAATCAGTGTTCATCTACTGATATGGTTCAACTACTTTTCAATTAACATGGCTGTAACAGGGTGCTGGGTAAGGAGTGCTTAACCAGCCCCCTGCCCTGCCAGCCCCAATTCAGGGGAGTAAATTGGAGCTGGCTGAATAGGCCTGTGCCTGCCTGGCAACTAGCAACAGCTGCCAGCCTAATTAGCCAGGGGCTATGAAAGGGCTGTGAGGGTGGGGAGAAAGAGAAAGAGAAAAAGTGAGAGAGAGAGAGAGAGAGAGAGAGGCAGGCCGGCCGGCCGGCCGGCCGGCCAGAAGGGCGGCTCTGGCCTGCTGCTTATAAAGCCTGGCTGCAGGGCCTTCCTTACCCATACACAAACTACGCAGCTGCGTAGGTCACCAGGAAATTTGGGGCATCACATTTCCTGATGTCCTGCGCAGCTGCATGCAGGTCCAGCCCCCACCCCTCCTCTTCCCCATGGCCCCAACCCCAGCCCCGCCTCTTTCCACCCCCACTCCCCTGAGGATTACAGCAGGGCTGGGCCTGCACTCACCAGCAGCGGGAAGTGCAGGGACCTGGCCCCAGCCGTGTTGCCAGTGAGTGCTGGGTGGTGGTTCCCCCCTGCCTCCCAAGCCAGCCCCACCGCGGAGGCCTGGGGACAAACCCCACCCCCCCATCAGAGGCCTGGTCACCCCCCGTGCAGGTGCTGTGTAGGACCTCAGAATAGCTAGGGATGGCCCTGCCTGGCTGAGAAACAAACCTGTTTATAGATAGTAAGGTGGTGGTGGGAAATAGCTACACATACAGTGCACTGGTGATTGCATCAACCTGAGGCATTCCTGACTGATTTGTGAGGGCAGCAGGGGCAGAAGCAAGAGGGGCCCAGCTGTGCCTCGCTACACTGGCTTACACAGTTCGCATATGGCGAGCAGTTTGTGTAGCTATCATACTGTATGAAAACTATCTTTAAGAGGATCATATTTTGATTCTTAAAATTTGGAATAACCAAATCAGCAATGCTCCAGCGTGTGGTGAATGGAAATTCAAGAACTGCAGTGATAGATGCGGGTACTGCACCTTTGAGAGCTAGAATGTTCTGACCTGCCAAAGTTCCAAAGGAGACTCATTAGTCAGCAGCAGTCACAGCTGGAGATAGTTGGAGACTGAAATCTAAGAATGAAGTGGGGCTGAAAGTAGCTTGTAAACAGAGGACCCGCTTGCTGTACTAACTTGGGACCAGATGATGTTGTATAGTTACACAGTAGCTTTTACTCTCTCTGTGAGAAGTCCCACTGAAATTTGCTTAACAAAAGTCAAGCTGGACTGGAGCACTGGGGACCATATGTTCGTTCTGGCTAATGCAGCAACAGATTTCAATCAAGTAAATTGAGGAACCAGAGAAGCAAGTGACGACTGCTCTTCCTGACTGGCATTTTTTATCTAAACACCAGGCATGAAAGTCTGTCTGTGGAAGTTATGGTGAGTTTTGCCATTGGCTTCAGTGGGGCCAGGATTTCACCCCAATTCCCTAAGCAACTCTCAAGAAGCAGGGATAAGTTTCTAACTTTTTCCCCTGAGGGGGAAGTCTCTGGTTGGAAAGCCTTTCTTTGTGATGGACCAGGGCAGAAGAGCTTAATCTGCTGCTGTTCTGAATGTATCGGGCATCAGCAGCAGCTCCAGGCTTGAGTAAACGTTTGAGTTTACACCTCACCTTCACCCCTTAAATAGAACCCCTCTTTCTTGCACCACTGTCCTCAAATCTCTTCAACTTATTTATTCAGCATCTGCTGCCTGTTATTCTGCTCTCAGTACCACTTGTCTCCAGAGCTCTGAGCCTCTCTATTCTCCACCCATTTTCCTCCTGAAGCACTAGTGTACTAGGTCTCAGGTACTCTGGAATTATAGCAGGGGAACACTCAAAGCCTCTTGGGCTGTATAAAGACCTTTGTAAGTAAGTAAGGAAAATAAACAAGCGTTGGAGCTCTGGGCCTCGAAACAGGAGATCTGGACTGAAAGTGGACTAGAGGTGGGGAGCAATTTTATTTCGAAGAAATGGCTCTATAACTAGGTAGAAGTGCAGAGAAAAAGCTATGGAATGAGGGATAGTTTAACAGCACTGATGGCAGGATGGTAAGGGTGAGGTGGGAATTCAACAACTGGGGTGAAGGTAACATGTTCCAATCCACTTTCCATCTCATCTGGTTTCCCATTCACATGTGCTGGAAAGAAAACTGAATATGAGTGTTCTAGTGATTAGAGCATCAGACTGGAACTCAGAAGACCCGGGTTCTATTCCTAGTTCTGCCACTGGCCCGCTGGGTGATCTTGGGCAAATCACTTCCCCTCTCTGTACCTCAGATTCCCCATCTGTAAAATGGGATAATAGCACTGACCTTCATAAAGCGCTTTGACATCTAGTGATGAAAAGTGCGATATAAGAACTACATATTATTATATATTCAAAGACAAAATCACAGTAGCTCTTCTTTCCTTTGGCCTCAATCAGTCCTTAGATAGATTAAGCCAAAAGACCTCCCAGCAGCAAATGACAAATGCTTGTTAGTTGAAGGCATGCATCACACAATTACTGTTCTCTTCAGTTACGGTTAAGTGAATCATGCCTGCATCTAAACTGGGTCACATTCTATATACATTACTGGGACTAGGGGAAAGAAGAATATGAGGTGCCATGACATATTAACTCTAACAGATGCATTGCCTACATCCTAAATCAGAACTCTATAAGAGAAATAAAGAAAAATTGTCTGGCTCTGAAGTGTGATGTAGTCTTCATATAAGTCCAAGTCATAGAAGCTTTCTGTAGGCTCCACAGTCAAAATGACAGAAACTGGATTTCCCTCTACATAGAATTGCAACAAGCGTAGGGTGGGATTTTCCAAAGTTGCATACCCAATTCCCATTGATTTTCAGTATTTAGTCCTCTACAAAAATACGTGGACAAACTAAGTGAAGTAGATAAACACTCTGCGCTGGAGTTGATGTCAGTTTCGTCTTAGGTCAAATAAGACAGAGTAAACTGCTAGAACTACCCAACAACCTGTACTTTCCTTTCTCCACATTTCACATAACTAAAGTATTTTCTGGTGAAAGCGATTAAATGTTTCTATTTGTCAGATGCCTCCCAATTTGCAAAAGAAACTGTTTGAGGCCTGAACCCAAAGACTATTTTATTTTATTAAAAAATTCCTCAGAGGGAAGGGATTTGTATGCCGTTTTCTCTTCATGCCCTATCTTGCTAATTTTGGAGGATGTAGATCGTCTGACTGGTTTGTTGGATGCTCCATAGCATCCCTCTGCCTGGTGGTCTGTCTCAGCAGGAGCCACAGTAGGGTAACCAATTTTAACACAGCACAACTAACTTCTCTGTTAGTTGGCACTAACATGGTACGACAGCTCCATCCTAGACAGTGCACTGAGAGGCTGCTATGGGAAACTTCATTAGTCCAGAAGGAATTAAGAACCTATAAAGAACGTCATCTCATAGCAACTTGCATCCTGTGAAACTGGTGCCTTATCTCACGGACTTTAATGCAGCTGGGATTGCAAATACCATTACTGTCATAGTAAGGGTGCATTGTCAACACAGCATATGCTTTAAGGATTCAGCCTCTTGTTGCTTTTGGTCAGTAAGATAAAATATTCACTGCCACTATTCTGGGCATCATGCTTTTGTTTCATGCCTCACTTGTTATACAAGTCAACATCTGAAAAGTAATGTACATCATTTTGTGGCAAAAAGCCAGGATTTGCTTTCTTCCATCCTGCCCATGAGCATGATGGTGCAGAAAAAGACCAATACATTTCCAGTATTCTTTTGAAGCTAATGCTATGTGTGTCCAATTTTCTAGGTGAATGAGAATTAAGCAGCAGCATGATGTGCATGTAGATTTTTGCATTCAGTTTATACTGGTCTTTTCATTTCCAGCTCTCTGAACTACAAAGGAGGATATGTTTTATAAAAACCCTGTTGATTAACTTAACGAATCAGACATTCAGGTTTTTATTAAATTGTCACTGGTGACTGGATAGGGGATTGGTAATACAATAGGGAGCTTTTCTCCTCTAGGTCAGCAGGCAGAATCTCAGGTAGTTTCTGAGGGCTTGTCTACACTTAAAATGCTACAGCTGTGCCACTGCAGCGCTTTAGTGTAGACATGACCTACACATGAGAGGTATTATCCCATCGGCATAGGTAATCAACCTCCCCAAGTGCTGTCTACATGGGAATTTAGGTTGGCTTAACTACACTGCTCACAGGTGAAGATTTTTCACACCCCTGAGCGACATAGTTATGCCAGCCTAATTTTCCAGTGTAGACCAGACTTGAAAATTATATTAACAGTTGGAATAAGTTTGCTGGTGTCAGTCATGTTACTAGCAGGCAAACATCCACATAATAAAAACCACCATTACAAATGTCACCAATTGGTACCTTTTTCGGAAGTGTCACTACAGAGCCAAACTACTGAATAGACATGGAGCTGCATTACTCTCCCTGATACCCCTT